GAGTCCTTCATCAAATGAAGAATTTCATTGGTATTGGTTGCAGACGGTTTCTGGCTGTCAAACAGAAGATCTTCCACCATAACTTGAATTTCTCTAGGAAAGAGAGGAGAGTTAAATCATGAAGCCCTTCTCATCGCTACTGCTATTGCTGTAGATCATGCAGCTGTATCAGCAGCATCTAAGGCAGCCTGCAAGGCTGTTCTGGCAATCAGGTGACCCTCTGTTATCAGGGCTTTGAACTGATGTCTTTTTGCCTCAGAAATATCTGCAATAAAATCATTGAGCTTGGTATAATTTCTGTGGTCATATTTACTCAATAGAGCAGCATAATTGGAGATATGAAACCATAAGGTAGAAGACATGTAAAATTTTATATCCAAATAAATAAAGTCTCTTGCCATCATGGTCCAATGGTGTGACCCAAATTGTTGCTGCTTGCTTTTCTGGTGTGCAGCTTCCACCACGAAAGAGCTAGGTATTGTGTGACTGAAAAACAAACCCAGAGCCCTTGAGTGGAATGTAATATTTTTTGTTTGCTCTCAGAGGTAGGGGAGGTTGATGCAGGCATTTGCCACACCATCTTTGCAGGTTCCATTATTGCTGGATTAATCAGCAGTACTATTTTAGAAGAGGTTACTGAGTGCAACATGTCCATTAATTTATGTTGGTTTTCAATGACCTCCTAGAGAGGAATGTTTAATTTAGTTGCCACATGTTTAAAAAGGTCTTGAAAATGTGCAGAGTCATCTGAAGTAGCTGGAATTGGAGGTACAGCTGCTTCCTCTACCAGGGCAGGTTCATTTGGCTCAAGGGATACATCTGCAAGTTATTTGGGAGGGGTGTCCACTTCCTGTTCTTGCTTTGTAGGTAGGGAAGGTGATGAAGGGAAATATTGCACTGAATGTCGTTTCCAGCCATGCTGGTGTTTCTGGTAAGATTGCAAGTTGTTCCAATATTGCCAGTGTGGATATGGCATAGGTGGAGGTACCCAGGGATTACCATACCATGGAGACATGTTCCCATATTTAGAGTATGATCTGAAAGAGTAAATAGATTTATCTGTGTGGGGAGAGTTTTCTGCAGAAAACCTCACCTCAAGATCATTTTCAGATTTGGATGACAATCTTTCATGAGACCATGTCATTTGTGATGTTGGCATAGCAGGAGAATGATCTGTACTGAGAAACGGTAACTGAACACAGAGGAGACTAATAAGTCTCCATGTTGCATGTATTGCTGAGCTGGCGTTGACGGTGCTGTCATAGGTTGCACCAATGCTATTTGAGGCGTTGGATTATGCCTCAGTGCTGATTGGAGTCGAGACGCACTAGGTGCTATTGTGGCAGAGGTGTCAGTGCTGGGAATTATGGGAGGCGCTGCGTTCTCATTCTGCGTCATCAAGATAGTTTCAGTGCTGGATGTTATTGCAGCTGATGAGGCAGGCAGCTAAAGACCTCACGCCTTGGAACAGGAGTTTGAGCAGCCTACTTTGCTAAATTGTTCCAACAGCCCCAGAGACACCCAAAGTATCATAGGTGCTTAGACATGGTGCCACAGCTGCTCTTGGCACTGGCCATGAGGGAGACGGTTGCTTGGATGCTGGTGTCTCCTGAGGTAAAGGTGAGGCTCACTTTTTGGTTGGCTTTTTACCTCCATGTTGTTTGTGTTCATCAGGTGTTGAGCTGGGTCTGATGCAGGTCTCAGTGAGTTTTCAGGTAACATTAACATGAAATGCAGATCTCTGTCCCGTCACACCCTCGATTTCAGTTTTGCACAATGCAGACATTTTTGAGAAACGTGTGCCTCTCCAAGGCAGCAGATACATTGTGTGTGCCTGTCAGAAACGGGGTATATGATCTTTGCAGGTGGAACAGCACCTATAAGCCAGTGAGCCGGGCATGGTGAGGAGTAACTCTCTAACTACAGGAAGGGAATAAACTGGGAGAAAAAACGTATTCTATTCTAGGGTGTGTTTTTTAAAAAAAACTAGACTAAAATAGCAACAACTGACTAACTTGGGAGAAAAAACTTGGCTCTAAAGGAGGATTACTTATCTAAAACATGAAAAAAGATAGGGAGCAATGCTCAGCTCTGTTTCCATCCAGAGGCAGTAGAGAAGGAACTAGGGAAGGAGGCTCACGCATGCATGATGACTGCCACCTAGGAGCGTGCGATGGTAGATGAGCATGTGCGTGGCCCCAGGGACTCTGCTCTAAAATCTCCGATCAGTGGTTTGGTGGCAGCGCACCGACCTAATAGGGAATATTAGGGGTCCATGGGGACATCTCTCAAAGAACTGTCACTGCCATCTGCCTTAGGCTGCCATCTGCCTGGCACTCCAGCCTCATGCCTGCCTCCCTCCCCCAAGATTAGAGCACCAGCGCTGGCTTCCTGTGGTGTGGGGGGGAGGGAGAACAACACAACAGTGCAAATGTTTTCCCACGAGCTGGATCAGATACGGAGCATCTGGGCTTTCGCCCCTCCCCTCGCACAGGAATTAAGTAATTAAATAATTAATTTTAAAAATTTTGCAGGGTGGGGGCATGAGGGTGGAGCACCAGCCAGGCAGGTGAGGCAGGTGGCAGTTTTCTGCGTGGTGTGGGGGGGAGGGAGAACAACACAACAGTGCAAATGTTTTCCCACGAGCTGGATCAGATACGGAGCATCTGGGCTTTCGCCCCTCCCCTCGCACAGGAATTAAGTAATTAAATAATTAATTTTAAAAATTTTGCAGGGTGGGGGCATGAGGGTGGAGCACCAGCCAGGCAGGTGAGGCAGGTGGCAGTTTTCTGCTGGGTCATCGATCGTTGGGCCCCGGACCCAGAAGTAGAGAGGGGCTACACATGGCTTCCGCATTGGAACAAGAAAAGCCTGGGAGCGG